GGCTTTTTTTCAGAAAACAAATCTGAGCTGTCTACACTGGCCCTTTTGTGCAAAAGCTTTGCCTCTGGATCTGGCTCAGCCCTCTGCCTTTCCACGCTGTATCAGAGGCAGCAGTGCCGCATGCCAGGCTGGAGCTGGCTTGCAAGAGACCCTGTTTAAAAACCAGATCCCCTCGCAGACTGGCTGTCTGTCATCCTGCACGGTTGCCTCTGATGGGGTGGCAGCAGCCCTTGCCTAGGGGGCGGATCTGAGCTCCCAGGCCTGGCGTGAGTCAGACCTGAGCTGGGCTATCTGCCTGCCCAGCTCCTAATATACTTTAAAAGCAGAGCTGCAGCCGGGGTAAGTCCTGGACCTATCGCAAGCCAGGACTGAGTCAGGTTATCTGCCCAGCCTACCAAAAATGTCCTGGCCGGGGAGTGGAGAAATGCGTTCAGTCTATAGCATTGACCTATAAGCTTTTACTTCTCGGTTAATCAGGTAACTGGCGACACTATTACATCCCTATTTACAACAGGCACTGCACTGTTAAGTGAAACGCTCTGTTTAGAAACGGGTATTGCCAGGTGTGTCTAGCTCCTATGCAAAGGCAAATGCATCATTTTCTGCGAAGGCCCATCTACAGCTGTGCCCCGGGTCGGCTGTTTCCTGGCTGTGGCAGCGTGAGTCAGGCATTGGGGAATTTTATTCTCAATGATGATTTTAATACTGCAGCTACCAAGGCCTTCCCCTGAGGAGGCAACATGTCAGTAGGAGGCTTGATGGGCCAAAAGCAGGACTGCCCAGCTGAACCCTTCATGGTCTTTGGGCTCAGACAAAATAGAACAAGACGTGATCCAGGGCTGGGTTTTGGGTTTTGTTTTTCAGAAGGGAATATAACCTGCAGAGATTTTTAAAAGCAAAACTAACACGGCCTCTTCATTTTGCTTTTTCTTTGCAAGAGGGGACCCCAAGGCACCACTCTTTGGGTATTACAAATGGTTTGGTTTTTATTCTGGACCCTAATCCATGCCCCCTGTGAGAGTACACAATCACAATAGAAATTATTCAGACCCTGCAGAGGCAGATGGACATTACTAGCCTGACACTCTCAGACTTCGGGAAGGCTGGGTTACTAGCGAGCATTATAGAGCAGAGATGAAGTGTTGAAAATTAATTCAACAGCAATATTTTTAAATTCCCTGTGTGTTTTGAGAGTGTTCAGACTGAGAGACTGTGAGAAAAAACAAGGAAGTGGGCAGGGAGGATACTAGCTGGAAACTGAGATATGGAAGGAACGAGCAGATAAAAACAGCTGAGGGAAGAAGAGAGTGCAGAGAGGGGAAGTGAGGAGAGAACCGCACTGGCTCTTCTGTTATCTCAGACACCCCACAAGCGCAGCCATCCGCAGACACGTGGCCAAAGCAGAGCGCGCCTTTCCAGCTGGGCTCTCGGTCTCCTTACAGAACCTTTGATGAGACCCCAAGTGAGGGGATGTCAGATTTGCTTCTAAACCCACCATTGCTCTTACTTCTCACAGCTCACTGGGGGCACGTCTAGACTTACCAGAAGATCGACACTGGCCTAGGATAGACCCGTAAATCAAATGCTGAGGGCAACTCCCGCCGGCGCCCGATACTCCTCCTTTTGTGAAGAGTGAGGGAAGCTGATGAGGCCATGTGATCCCATTGGCGTCCCACAGAATGGATGCTCCCATGGCTCAGCTTAAGGCAAGCTGTCTCCAGCTACCCATTTTACTTTGTTGGAACTGTGTACCTTCTGTCCACCTTCCAGGCCCAGTGTAGTCTGGCCTGTGTGAGTGGTTGCTGTCTCCAGCTACCCATTTTACTTTGCTGGAACTGTGTACCTTCTGCCGACCTTCCACGCCCAGTGTAGCTCTGGCCTGTGTGAGTGGTGTTGGTCTTAGCATCAACATTAGAAATCAACTGACAGCATTTTCTTCCTCAGGCTGACCCTAGACACCCTCGCCAGGAGGGCACTGTCAAAGAGAGGTGAGATTTTGTATCCGCAAAGGCCCTAGTACAGCTGCTATTCCGGCCAGAAAGTGCTTTGGCCAGTGTAGCTTGTTTTGTTGAAGGACCTGGCAGACGCTGCACTAGAAGAGCACTTCTCTTCCTGGGATGAGGTTTGTCTCCTCTAGGAGGGTTTGCCGGGACAGTTAGGCTATGTCTACACTGGCGGGTTCTTGCTCAAGAACCGGCAGAACGTCCACAGTGCCCGCCCACTCTTGCACAAGAAGATTTACAGTACGGCGTGGTAAGAGAGGGTTTCGTGCACAAGAGCTACTCTCTTTTCTAACAGGTGTAAGCCCTCTTGCACAAGAGGACAGCGTGGAGGCGCAGCAGGGGTTTCTTGTGCGAGAAAGCCCTATGGCTAAAATGACCATCAGAGCTTTCTTGTGCAAGAGAGTGTCCACGCTGCCATGGATGCTCTTGCGCAAAAGCACATGGTAGTGTGGACGTGTTCTTGCAGAAGAACCCTTGTGTAAGATGTTCTTGCGCAAGAACCCGCCAGTGTAGACAAAGCCTTAGAGCAGCAAAGCTTTTCTAGCACAGGCCTGGGTGTGGTGTAAAAAGAAAAATGCACTGAGCTGAATTCTCTGCTGGCAGATGTTAGCCACTGTGTCAACACAGCTGGTAAAGATGCTGTTGTATGATTGTCCCAGAGTCTGCCCCCAACCCATGCTCATGATGAGCAACCCCAAGCTCCACAAGCCAATTGTGAAGGGTTCTGCCTTGCCCAGCCCCTCTGTGCAGCTCACAGAATTGCCATCCCACTGTCCCGGTCAGGTCTCCCAGGCAACCCTTCTCAGAAGGTGTCTGGGGAGGTCGGCCTTATTCCCTCCTCCACGGTAGGGCCTCCTGCCTAGCCAGAGGCAGGGGCGGATATAGGGCAGGGCGACTGCCCCGGGCCCTGCGCTTCAAGAAGCCCCGCGCATGCGCCGTGGCAAAGGGGGGCCCCGCGAAATTGGGCTGCTCTGGGCCCCGCAAAATGGTCATCTGCCCCTGGCCAGAGGGATATGGCGACATTTCAGCACCAAGCATAAGATCCGGGTTTCTGGGCACATTCTTACAGCGTCTGCTCCCATTCATGTTCTCTGATTCAGAGAAGGCTGATCTTGCGCGTGGGAACCTGGCTGAACCAGGGGACGCTCTGTAATTCATAGCACTGAGACACTCCACCTCCATTTGCTTGTCCTCAGTGAATCCTAACCCCAGGTTTGTTGCTCTGTTTGCAAAGACCCCGCACCCCACCCTTTGCAGGTCACTGTGGGAAGGGGGAATTGCAGTCTGCAGGCATGCTAGGGGTGGCAAACACACAGTGACTGTGTGAGCCACCCAGATACCCCCTCCTTGTATGGCCCCTAGCAAACGCACCCACACCCCACTTGCAGACACAGACACTGAGGCTACGGCTACACGATTTATGAGGAATCAGGGGTCTTGCGAAAGAGGGGTTTCCTGACATTTGGCCTGGTCTACACAGAGCCTTTTATTGGCAAAACCTCTTCCGCAAAAAGAATCGTAAGAAGATATGCAAATACGAGCACAATTTGCATATCTTCTTCTGCAAAAAAAGGCAGTGCAGCTGTAGCCCTAGATAGCTCGAGGGCTGCGCTTCCCTCTGTCACACATGGTTCCAAAGTGGAAGAAAAAGAGAAAGCGCCCAACCTGTTGCTTACCAGGCCTGCCACCAAACTGAGTCCAGCTGCCCCATGGGGTGCTGTGTTCTGCCTTCCTGGTAGGCACTTAACATGACAATTTGGCCTTTTACATAACATAGGCTGGTTGTGAAGCACAGTGCTTTGTGCAGTGCAAAAGAGTTCACTTTCTGTGTTCTACAATGTTTCTTTCTCTGAAGTTTACCCTTGATATTTTCCCTTAATGCAGCTGGAACAATGACTCCCTTACCCACTCCCCCAGACCTCCAGCACCTCAGCTATCACTGAACAAAAGGTGGAAAAAACCCCACAAGGGATGAAATGTTTAATGAGCAAATGCAATCCAACCACCTGTACAGAGCACAACTGACCATCTTCACAGAACAGGAGGACGGGATAGGACAGGGCAGCATGCAGGGAAGATGAGTGCAAGACGCAGGATGAGATGTTGAGACTCGTGAGCGAGCAAACAGAGTTGATGAGGCACCTGGTGGAGGTTCAGGAAAAGTATCTGGAGCACTAAGTCCCCCCCCTATGATAAACCACCTGCCCCCCTCAAGATTCCATAGCCCCCTCTCTCAGGAGAGTGGGGGGGTCCACAGGAAGCCTTTGACTGAACACCCAGAGATGGCTCCTGGAACAGCTTTGATTGCTACACAGGGGGGTTGCAATAAGCCACTTGCCCTTGTGCTCTTCCTCCCCACTCCCTCCCCCTTGTCCACCCACCAAACCTCAAGTTCTGAACTCTGTGTTTATCTCAGTTCTCTGTGTTTCCTAAATAAAAATGCACAATTTCAGAATAAGAGGATCATTATTGAAACAAAAAACAGGACTATGTAGCACTTTAAAGACTAACAAGATGGTTTATTAGATGATGAGCTTTCGTGGGCCAGACCCACTTCCTCAGATCAAATAGTGGAAGAAAATTGTCACAACCATATATACCAAAGGATACAATTAAAAAAATGAACACATATGAAAAGGACAAATCAAATTTCAGAACAGAAGGGGGATGCGGGGGGGGGGAAGGTAAATGTCTGTGAGCTAATGATATTAGAGGTGATAATTGGGGAAGCTATCTTTGTAAAGGGTAAGATAACTAGATCCTTTGTTGAGACTCAGGTGTAAAGTGTCGAATTTTAGCATGAATAACAGTTCAGAGGATTCTCTTTCAAGTGGGTCTGGCCCACGAAAGCTCATCGTTAGTCTTTAAAGTGCTACACAGTCCTGTTTTTTGTTTCAGCTACACCAGACTAACACGGCTACATCTCTATCACTATTCTACATCTTGAGGATCATTATTGTTTGTGTCAACAGGCCAGTACACATACAGAAAATCTTGAGGATCATTATTGTTTGTGTCAACTTCATGGGGGTGGGCAGTCTACAGGCCAGTACACATACAGAAGGAGGCATCTTGTTAAGAACAACACACATGACTAGCACATCGCTGTCTGCTCATTCATGAAACTGATTTGCAGTGCCCCTCGATGTGTTCTTCTTATTGTCCTGGTGCCTGGCTGCTCAAAATAAATGGCTGAGTGCTCTTCCTCAACCTCCCACCCCACCAGAAAGGTTTCCTCCTTACTTTTGCATGTATTATGGAGCACACAGCAAGCAGCAGCAACAACAGGACTTTCACTGAGATCTACCCTAGTCGATAAACTGTCCCTTTAAACAGCCAAAGGTACAGTTGCTCTCCATGCTGCACTTGCTCAGCTGGTGGTTTGACTGCTCCTTGCTACTGTCCAGGCTGCCTTTGTGCATCATAAGCCATGGTAGCAAGGAGTAAGGCTGGCTCTCCAAGGATAACCGTTGGCACTTCAATGGCACCAATGGTCATTTTCCAATTGGGGAAGAAAGTTTCATCTTACAACTTTCTGGAGAGATTGGAATTCCTAAAGATGCGCGTCATGCAATTTTCTTGACCATCCTATGTTGACATCAGTGAAACAGCCCACCAGAACCTGCAATGCCATTAATAAGTCTGTGTACCCTTTTGCAAAGTGGTCAAGTGCCAAGATGGGGATGTGCATTCTGTCAATCGCCCCACCTCAGTTAGGGAACCCCACTGCAGCAAAGCCATCCACTTCACATTTCCAAGAGTCACTATCCTTCCCACCAGGAGGGTATCGATTGTTCTGGATACATGGATCAGAGCAACCCGTACTGTAGATTTCCCCTCTCCAAATTGATTCCCCACTGACCAGTAGCTATCTGGCATTACAAGCTTCCATGGGGCTATTGCCATTCTCTTCTCAATTAGCAGGTCTCATTCTCATATTGCTGCATTTCAGGGTGGGGGGAAGCAATTCACAAAGTTCCATCAAAGTTGCCTTAGACGTGAAAAAGTTTTGTAGTTACTGGTCATTGTCCCACAGGTGCATCACTATGCAGTGCCACCATGCTCTGCTTGTCTGACGGGACCAGAACTGGCATTCCACTCTGTCAACAGACCCGGCTGCCACCATTGTATGTCAATTGGTCCACTCCTCGCTGCAGCGCCAGCTTTCAATAAGGGAGGACAAAAACAAGAGAAAAATCACTTGAAATTGCCCTGCACGATTCATTCTCTCGGAAACATCAGACACTGGTCAAAAGATAAGATACTGGGCTAGATGAACCATTGATCTGACCCAACATGGTTGTACTTATGTATATTGTCAGGCACATGTATGGTTTTGGTGTAAACGGATGAAAACCTTAATGGTTTCAGCCAGGCTTGAATTTGGTGCTCACGATGGGTCTCTCTGGGTGCCACCCAGAACTTCTGGGAGAGACATTCAGACTTGCCCCAAGTGGCTCTGTAGAGGCGATATACCCAATGAACAACACTTACTACCACATAATCCAATGAAACTGACATGACTAGAGATCTGCTCATGGCAGTGACTAGCTGCCCCACATAAGGGAACCAAATCCAGGTTTGGGGCAATCACGATGCATTTAAATGACCAGCTATTGCTTTTTGGGTCTTAAAGCTGGGTGACATCATGTATTAGTTAATAATTAATTGATGGATGGATTTGTATTAGTCATAAGCAGAACATTTTGCATATCTTTAGACTGTTGCTGTGCTGTTTCTTCTGGGTGTAGCCTTTATGATTAGGGCCCTACCGAGTTCACAGTCCATTTTAGTCAATTTCAAGGTCATAGGTATTTTTTAAATGGTGAATTTAATTATTTCAGATATTTAAATCTGAAGTTTTTCCATGTTGTTCCATGAAGATTTGCATTTAGTGGACACATGAAAGGCTGCTTACCCCTCCATTCATTCCCTTAGCGATGATGAGTGTTGATTTTTGCATAGGTGACATTGCCATCTGTCTGTTTTGGCCGAATCTTCACTTCCGTGTAAACAATCTCTTCCTCCACTTTTGCATCCCGTTTGCGAAAGTTCAAGTCAGCATATGTCACTTCATCAGCTGGCAGAGACTGCAAAGCAAGATGGAAATGAGTACAACCTTCCTTTCTGCTCTGCAGGGTCTAAAATTAATGGTTAGTGGTGCCCATATCAAACTCTTACTGTGCTAGACCATCTCCCACTAACCCAGACACTGTAAAAAAAAAGTGTGCTACCTTTTTCTGAAGCCATATTCAGATTATCAAGCACCTCTAAAGTTCATGGAACAAACGCTGCATTTTGCAGCATCTTAAGGTTTCTGGATCAGCACCAGATTCCCTCTTGCCTTGTACTTCCCAGTCCCATTGCCTACAACTAATCTGCATTCTCTATTCTGTATTAATTTCTGTATTGCCTTGTATTCCTGGAGTTGATGCTCAACACCAAGTCCCCCTATGCTGGAGAGAAACATTAAACGATAAGTTCCCCAACTCACCCTCTTCGTCTGATTCATTTCTGCCTCTGGCCTGCTCTGAGGTGGTTCTGGAAAAAATGAAGTTATGGCCAAGTTGGTTATTCTCTGGTGGCATTTGGGTAACTTACATGGAGGTGTTGGTTGTCAGTCAAGACAATTTCTAGTGGAGCAGTATCTACGTCCCCTTCATTCCCACCCTAGCACTTGCCAATAACTGGCAGCTTTCATAGAATCATAGAACACTAGACCTGGAAGAGATCTCAAGTGGTCATCGAATCCAGTCCCCTGCCCTCATGGCAGGATCAGGCACCATCTAGATCATCCCTGACAGATGTCTATCCAACCTGCTCTTCAATATCTCCAGAGATGGAGATCCCACAACCTCCCTAGGCAATTTATTCCAGTGTTTAACCACCCTGACAGGCAGGAAGTTTTTCCTAATGTCCAACCTAAACCTTTCTTGCTGAAATTTAAGCCCATTGCTTCTTGTTCTATCACCAGAGGCCAAGGAGAACATTTTTTCTCCCCCGCCTACTTATAACACCCTTTTAGATACTTGTAAACTGCTATCATGTCCCCTTTCAGTCCTCTCTTTTCCAAACTAAACAAGCCCAGTTCTTTCGGTCTTCCCTCATAGCTCATGTTTTCTAGAACTTTAATCACTTTTGCTGCTCTTCTCTGGACCTTCTCCCATTTCTCCACATCTTTCTTGAAATGTGGTGCCCAGAACTGGACACAATCCTCCAACTGAGGCCTAAACAGTGCAGAGAAGAGCGGAAGAATGACTTCTCGTGTCTTGTTCACAACACTCCTGTGAATGCATCCCAGAATCATGTTTGGCTTTTTTGGCAACAGTGTGACACTGTTGGCTCGTGTTTAACATGTCATCCACTATGATCCCTAAGTCCCTTTCAGTAGGACTCCTTCCTAGACAGTCACTTCCGGTTCTGTGTGTGAAACGGATTGTTCCTTCCTAAGTGGGCACTTTGCATTTGTCCTTATCAAACTTCATCCTATTTACCTCAGACCAGTTCTCTAGTTTGTCCAGATCATTTTGAATGTTGACCTTTGTTGGCAACCCAGTCATAGGCAGAATAGACACGATGACTGACTCCACCTGTTACTCCATGAGGAGTCCCTCAGGTCAGGGAGGAGACAGAGAATAATGTAGTACCTGTGCTTAGGGATGAGATTGCATTAAGTAGGGCAGGCAGGTCACTGCCACTGGCTGGCAAAAATCCCCCAAATTACTCTTGATTGAGCTGACAGAAGGATACAAAGAAGACTCTATAGATGCCCCATTAGATCCTCTACTACAGAAATTGCTTACATTTACTGCCCAAGTAAACCTTACTTTTGGAGCGCTGTCTCCATCTCCACACACAGATACCAAGCACCAGCAAGAAGAGAGCTGCCCCAGCCACAGCCCCAGGAACAATGTAAGAGCCTGTTACCCCTGGATCACGTGCTGTTGAAAGAAACATTCATTAGTCACTGTCCTACCACATAGGAGCAGCAGAGGCAGGACAAGTTGGGGTATTGCACCCCCATCGCCACCGAAATCTCACTGGATAGCACTAGGAAAGACAGCGTGGGCTGGCTCATGCATCAGCTCCATTACAGGAGTGCTGCTGGCCAGGGGCAAGGGGAGACACTGTGAGGCTGGGTCACTAGATCATCATCTCAGGGAATCACGGGGCAGAACAGATGGAGGAGAAATGGCAACGTGGGTGGCTGCACCTCCAGTGCTGGAACAATGGAAACCGGCAGCAGCCCAGTGGATTTGACAGCGTGGGCTGGCTCATGCATCAGCTCCATTACAGGAGTGCTGCTGGCCAGGGGCAAGGGGAGACACTGTGAGGCTGGGTCACTAGATCATCATCTCAGGGAATCACGGGGCAGAACAGATGGAGGAGAAATGGCAACGTGGGTGGCTGCACCTCCAGTGCTGGAACAATGGAAACCGGCAGCAGCCCAGTGGATTTATGCACAATGGGCTAACCGGGGGGGGGGGGGGGGGGGGACTATCACACATAACTGGGATCTGTGCTGAGATTAAAATAACCCCATTATTCCAGGGGAGCCCCCAGCCTGCAAGGGGGGCAGTTCCGTGCCTCGAGCAGCAGGGGCGGGAAGAAAGGCAAGCTCATCACCCAGAGCACACCATGCCGCCCCCCCCCCGCCCCCAACACCCAGAGCCACTCAGCACAGAGTGCACAGAGTGTGTGGAGTGTCGCTCCGGCGGTGACTGAAAAGGCCCAGAGCTCCATCCACTGCCACAGCAGCTGCGGCTGGGATCCCCAGGCCCTTTTCAATCGCCAGACCCCAGGGTAACTGCCCCATCTGTCTCCTCTTCCCCCCTCCTCACCCCGTCAGCAGGCCTGCAGTATTCTACAGCAATGAGCCAAAAGCACTGCCCCTTACGATAGCGGCACTGCCATGGGTGGGTTTGGGACTAGCCTCTAGGCACTTCTGGGTTTGTCCAGGCCTGAAAGCAGCATCAGCAATATACAGCGAGGCATTTCCGTCCCTCTCACAACTGGGCAATGCTGGGCATCCCGGGAGGGGCTGTCATGGGGAAGTTTATTGTCAGCAGGGTGAGAAGCGCTTCCCACCCCTGAAGGGCTCCTCTGAACCCTGATGATTCACCCAGTCGGAAGGAACTGAGGATCTGGGTGAGCAAAGCTGCGGTGTTGCACACGAGAGATCAGGAAAAGGGAAAGGTCGCAAACACTTGGATGGCAGAAAACACTTGGCGGTCGGATCTGGAAAGCCCCCAAGAATCACTGACTTCTCCCTGCCAATCCTCTCCTCGTGTTTGTCAGCAGCTCCTGTCCAGCCACTACTGGACAAAGCAACTATCAGCTCTTCCTTGCCTTGTCCTTGTTCTTCCCTAGGGAGCACGGCGAAGACCTGAGAGAACAATGGGGCTATTTACCGTCGATGGTCACTCTGGTTCCATTGCCACCACCACTTTTACCAAAGTCACATCTGTAGAGCCCAGAGTCATTCCTACTGATCTTTACCAAGGTGAGAGAGGCCAGGCCCATGGAGGAATTTAGAGCTGTTGCGATGTTGCCTGTTCCATTCTTCAGCTCCGTTTCATGTCCATCCGACCCTCTCTTATACCATGTAACGCTGTACATGGACTCTTCCACCACCTTGAATCTACACTCGATCGTGAGCTTTTCTCCTTCCGCTCTAGTCAGCTCTGCAGGGGACTGACTCACCAGCAGGTCAACAGCTGCAGAGAGAGAAGCAGAAGTGACTCTACCTGGGTGCAGGAACATTGCAGCTGACTGCTTATACAGACTGAACATCAGGATAGAGATGACTAGGCAAGATCTCCCGGGGAGACAGCAAGATTGCTCCTCTGGGTGCAGAGCATTTCTGCAGGGCTCTGCCGCTAATTCATTCTTTTTTTTCTTCTTCTGGTTCCCCTTTAGTCAAGTAGCATGTTGGGATCCTTGGGTGCCTTTTGATTCTGTCTGGCTAGAATTACAGGTCTTTAATGGACAATAGGTTCTTTTTTCACACTGGGAGACTCAGGAAGAGTTCTTTCTACAAGCCTCGCACTTGAGGTGGGGGGGGAGTAATTTTAAAAAGTCTCCATGACAGCAGGGGGTGTCTGACTCAGTGTTCCTTCCTATCCCTGTGGTCAAGTTGCAGAACCAGAACCTCAGCTGGGGCCAATCAGCCTCTTTCCTGTGGTATCAGCTGAGGATTTGGCTCTCAGATCTGATCTGAAGGAGACTATTCGCAAGCAAGGCTTGACAGTGTAGGACATCATTGAAATGTTCTCAATTTCTCTGGTCCTATTTCAACCCAGCTTATTCACCACTATCCAGAATACACTCCTCTGCACTGGAGATTCTTCCAGTTTCTGGCTGTGGGCAGAGGGAAGGGCCTTAGAATACTTGGGCACTTGGGGCGGGGTACCGGCCCTGGGCGTGCGGCCCTTGGAAGGGGCCCTGCCCCCGGGGTGCAGTGCATAGGGGGGCCCTGCCCCCGGGCACACGGCTATGGGGAGAGGGGCCGCCCCGAGCGCGCAAGTGTCCCCGCCCTCTGGCGCCCGGCAGGCGAACGGCCACGCCCCTGGCGCCCGGCAACCTCAAATGGTTGGGGACCACTGGATTATAGTAATAAGCCATCAATCCAGAGTGCCTTTTTGAACCCAGGATTGTTAGTGTCCAGCAAAGCTATATCTATGCTCCGAAGCTTGTCTTTAGATAGTGTTTTGCAAGTCTCCTTTGAAGAAGAGATCAGACACAGGGTGATTGCTTTGGCTAGGTCTAGACTACGCTGAAGTTTTGAAAGAGAAAATTTGCATATCTTCTTCTGATCTCACTTTTAAAAGTGGAGCTTTCGAAAGTGAAAGTAGTCGGGACACAGTTTTTTTCGGAACCCCCCTTTTTCAAAAAAATGAGGTTTATGGGGCTTTTCAAAAAAAGGGGGTGTTCAGAAAAAACTGCATCGAAAGCTCTGCTTTCAAAAGTTCCCGTGAAATTTGCATGTCCTCTTTCGAAACCTCAGCATAGTCTAAACGTACCCTTTGTGAAAAGGGTTCATCACAGATGATGGTGTTTTTGTCTTATCTTCCTGTGAGTAGTCCCTTGCAATGTGGTAACTATGGCTGCTGACTAATCTGCTCCACCTTGAGTTTAGGTGTCACTCCGAGCAAGTTTCCCAGACCTGTGTAAGTTCAAAAGCTTCTCTGTCACCACCAGAAGTAGGCCCAACAAAAGATATTGGCTCACTGTGATGGGAGAGAGATAGGGACATCTCTGGTGAGTGCCTAGTGTTGGTGGGGTGTGAACCTGCACTCTGATCCTGGCACGCCCTCTTGGATGTTACCCTCATCAGATAGTTCTTAGTGACCCAGCCCTCCGGCCAGGTCACGCGCAGTCAATACGCACAAACATTGTCAGTCTCTGGACTCAGAGCTCAGCCTCGTCGCGGCTAGCGTTACATTTATGCCTGCCATGGTCGAGAGCGCAGCCTCCAAGGCTTTCTCCCTGGAGACTTTGCCTTATCGGGTCTCATTGCCCCAGCTCTCCAACCACGTCCCTTCTTCAAGATCAGTCCCCTGGCAGAGTAACCAAGTCCAGCAATGGTCCTCTGCAAGCAGGAGCCCACCCCCACCCCAAGCACATGGAGGAAACTTTGCTCACCTGCAAAGTCTCTGCCCCCTGCTCTGTCGGTGCCCACCCATGTCTAGCCAGAAGTGCAGGGATTTCCGGGGCTGGGTCGCTGCAGACTCCAGCCCTGCAAACTTGGAAGGCGGAAGGGAGGGATGCGGGAAAAATAGGGAGAAGGGGTGGGAGAGGAAGGGGCTTGAGCTGAGGGGCGGGGGACAGGTCAGGAGAAGAAAGGGGAAGGCACCAAGGGACAGGGTGGAGGAGAGAGACAAATACGGGGGTGGGGGAGAGTTGAGACACTGAGGAAAAGGGCAGGGGGACAGGGTGATGCTGGGAGAGGAGAGGGGAAGGGCATTGGGGGCTGGAGGGGGAGGTGCTGGGAGAAGGCTTGAAAGACGGGATGGGCCTGAGAGAGGTGGGGATGGCGCAAGGCTTGTGTGAGGTCTTGGGGAAGGAATGTGATTGGTGGGTTTTTCTTTTTCTTTTGCTCGACAAACCTAGGCACAGGGGCACCAGCTTAATAATCCCATGTAGGGCACCATAACCCTACGGCCGGCCCTGCAAGGGACCCTGCAAATAGCAGCTCTGTGCTGCTCCCTTAAAGAGCTGCTGCTGCTGCTGTTCTCGGAGCGCTTTCCTGTGTAACCCCTTCCTCTTCACCCTCATCCTAGGGCTGAATTTCTTCCCTCTTCTCCGTTACCACAGGCCACCTGCTGCCTCTCCCTCGAGCTCCATCAAGGAGCTTCTTATTCACCTGGTCCTGGCCAGGAACTGACTCACTCAGGGCCAGCAGCTCCTTTTAACCGAGTCTGTTGTTCTCTGATTGGCTGCTTCCCCGCGGCCCTTCTAGGCAGGTCTGGAGGATCCACCTTCCCTGCTCCTTTTCTAGGAGCTGGAGCACCCATCACACTCACCCATCTTGTCCTTCTAATACCCTGGGATCGACACTGCTACAACAACAACAACGTTCTACGGGTGACACACAGCTGAGATAACACCGTCTCCCCTGCACTGGCCTAGGAGGTGGCCATAGGGTTCCAGTTTCCATGTGAGCCAGTGGGGACCATTCTGACAGAGCTACTCTGCGCAGAGAACGCTGCTACTTACCGCGGATGGTCACTGTGATTTCAGCCCCACGGCCGTATTTACCAAAGTCACATCTGTAGCGCCCAGAATCATTCATCGTGGCTTTTGTCCAGACGAGGGACGCCTGGCCCGCTGAGACGTCGAGAGCTGTCGTGACTGAGCCGGTTTCATTCTTCATCTCTTTCTCACCGTCGTCAGAGCCATGTTTATACCACCTGAGATTCAGTGCGGAGCAGGGGCTCTCGGGAGCCCTGAATCTGCATGTTATGGTGAGCTGCTTCCCCTCCTCTGCATTAACTGTGGTAGGGGTTTGATTCACCAGCAGGGCAAGAGCTGCAGAGAGAGGAAGACACATGAGGGACTTCACCTTGGTGCAGAAACATGTTAATCAGCTGCAATATTTATTTAAAAAGTCAGCTTCTCATTCCAACATTTCATGTCCATTTGTAAAGTTTAGCCATAGAAATATCCCCTGTAGGTGTAAAGAAGTTGATGTTCTTCTTTTGTATCCATAACAAGGTTCTGTTTCTTGGAAACTACTCTGGCTATTGACAAAAAGCAAGAAAGTTACAGCTGCCTAAACATTTTCTTCAAACCTCTCTTCATATAAAGCCCTTCAGTACAAGTTTTAGGCAGGGCTCTGCTAAATTGGAGACAAAATGCTCAACACACCCTGCAAAAGTTTTCTGGCCATCAGCTGGGATGACACTTCCTCTTCTGAGTGGCACAATGAGTAAGTCTGACCTCTTTGCTGTCTTGTGTTCTAGTTCCACTGGAGATTTCATTTGTCCCTGCGGAAAGTATATCTGAACTTTCAGGGTCATATGTGCTTTAAAGAGAACAATAGGGATTTAATGCGTGGCAGCCACCAAATTGGAACCACAGAGAAGCACACTGGGCATGGTTAGTATTAATGGAGTAGTATTAATGCGGCTGAAGGTCATTTTCACTTTTCAGAATCATAGAATAATAGGACTGGAAGGGACCTCGAGAAGTCATCGAGTCCAGCCCCCCGCCCTCAAGGCAGGATCAAGCTCTGTCTACACCATCCCTGACAGATGTCTATCTAACCTGTTCTTAAATATCTCCAGAGAGGGAGATTCCACCACCTCCCTTGGCAATTTATTCCAATATTTGACCACCCTGACAGTTAGGAATTTTTTCCTAATGTCCAATCTAAACCTCCCCTGCTGCACTTTAAGCCCATTACTCCTTGTCCTGTCCTCAGAAACCAAGAGGAACAAATTTTCTCCTTCCTCCTTGTGACACCCTTTTAGATATTTGAAAACCGCTATCATGTCCCCCCTTAATCTTCTTTTTTCCAAACTAAACAAGCCCAGTTCATGAAGCCTGGCTTCATAGGTCATGTTCTCTAAACCTTTAATCATTCTTGTTGCTCTTCTCTGTACCCTTTCCAATTTCTCCACATCTTTCTTGAAATGTGGCGCCCAGAACTGGACACAGTACTCCAGCTGAGGCCTAACTAGTGCAGAGTAGAGCGGCAGAATGACTTCACGAGTTTTGCTTACAACACACCTGTTGATACAACCTAGAATCATATTTGCTTTTTTTGCAACAGCATCACACTGTTGACTCATATTCAACTTGTGGTCCACTATGACCCCTAGATCCCTTTCTGCCATGCTCCTTCCTAGACAGTCGCTTCCCATCTTGTATGTATGGAACTGATTGTTCCTTCCTAAGTGGAGCACTTTGCATTTCTCTTTATTAAACCTCATCCTGTTTACCTCTGACCATTTCTCTAACTTGCTAAGGTCATTTTGAATTATGTCCCTATCCTCCAAAGAAGTTGCAACCCCACCCAGTTTGGTATCATCTGCAAACTTAATAAGCGTACTCTCTATCCCAATATCTACATCATTGATGAAGATATTGAATAGTACGGGTCCCAAAACAGACCCTTGCGGAACTCCACTTGTTATCCCTTTCCAGCAGGATTTAGCACCGTTAACAACAACTCTCTGACTACGGTTATCCAGCCAATTATGCACCCACCTTATCGTGGCCCTATCTAAGTTATATTTGCCTAGTTTATCAATAAGAATATCATGCGAGACCGTATCAAATGCCTTACTAAAGTCTAGGTATATGACATCCACCGCTTCTCCCTTATCCACAAGGCTCGTTATCTTATCAAAGAAAGGTATCAGATTAGTTTGGCATGACTTGTTCTTCATAAACCCATGCTGGCTATTCCCTATCACTTTATTACCTTCCAAGTGTTTGCATATGATTTCCTTAATTACCTGCTCCATTATCTTCCCTGGGACAGACGTTAAACTGACCGGTCTGTAGTTTCCTGGGTTGTTCTTATTCCCCTTTTTATAGATGGGCACAATATTTGCCCTTTTCCAGTCTTCTGGAATCTCCCCTGTCTGCCATGATTTTTCAAAGATCATAGCTAAAGGCTCAGATACCTCCTCTATCAGCTCCTTGAGTATCCTGGGATGCATTTCATCAGGACCTGGTGACTTGCTGACATCTAACTTTCCTAAGTGATTTTTAACTTGGACCATTCCAGAGTATCAGAGACTAAGGTTGATGGTTTGGCTTCAAACTCCACAAGCAAAACTTCTGTTTAGGTGCATTAGAATCTTTGGGAAAGATGAATGTGGATGAAATGGAAACACATTTCTCTCTCCTCCCCACCTAACAAGAAAAAGACCTCAGCTGGGCAGAGTCTTTAGTCTGAAATGGAGTCTAATTGCAGAAAGAGTCCACACAATTAACAGAGAAGGGCAACATACAATTAACCTCTGGAACCTACCGAGTCAGGATATAATTCAAAGGATTCACAAAGGACTAGATCAGTGGAGCAACAGTAAACAAAATGTCCCATTTTGGCCCTTGTTTACTGTTGCTCATAATTCTGCTGGTTTCCATCTGCATCGTTTTTTTTCTTACCGAAGTGACAAGCACCTAAAGCACGGCCATACGACATGAGGTGGGTGCCTATTGACTGCGAGAGCTGGGCGCTCCCTCTCCATTCAAAGCGCTGCTACGGTTCAATCGGTACATCCTGCAATTTCTAGGTACGCAAGCGCAATTAGCAAAACTTCCCTATCCCAAGAGACCATCTTGCCTAGGACAGTCTTGCAGCCCACTGAGATGAAGAGGCCCCTCATGCAGCCCACTCACTAGCCCAGGTTGCCCATGGCTGGACTAGACACGTGCACTACAATTTCAGCTAGCATGGCAGTTATACCGCTAGGGGGATATTATTAGAGCCACCCGTTCTAAATCTTCAGGCTGAAATCTGCTCTCTAGCAGGAGCCAGGAAAACATTTCTCTCCATGATTTAGTATTTCAGATAGAGCAGGTGTGTGGGGGGAGGGTTATGCCTGCTCTGAAGAGTCTGGCATTGCACACGGACCTCTGATCACTCTTAGTACAGCATTTTCTGCGTCAGAGAGCTTCCATAGGGAATGTTGAGGTTCCACTGTCTGAAACTTGAGAAACGTATATGAGTGACCATTACCCAGCCTACAGCAGTCCAGGGCCCCTCCTGCAGTGGATACTAAACTAATACGATGACGCTCTCGGTTGCAAATTTGGAAACTAAGGGGGATCCCTTAACCCCACTAATATCACTGGGAGTGTTGCTATTGACCAGCACAGGCCAGGATTCCAATCCGGATCTTCATCACTGCTCCTCAGAGAAACGCTCTCCAGCATAACGCTGAGCAGACCTGCTCTGTCCTAGTCACTGATCCTGAGTCTTTGGAAGGGTTGGATCAGTTCAGGCCAGAAATCCTTGCACTTGATCTGAGCCGGTTCTTCCATAGACGCCCTTCCCACCTTTCCTGCCGTCCAGCAAAATCCACGGTGAGTTCTTTTCAATCTGACTGGCTCTGCTGGGGACTTGGGATCAGCTGCTGACACGGGCTCTCTCTGGAGCAGAGGCGTACGACGTGTTCTGAAAATATCTGCAGACCGGGGTCTTGCAGAGACCATCAGAGTAGCTCATTCCCCGGGGTTGGATGGGGTTCAGGAGAAGGAAAAAGGCTTGGGAAGGGCACAACCATCCTTAAAGGAACGTGGGGAACTGGGGAAAGGAGAGATGAGGAGGAAAAAGCGACAGAAGACAGGTGTGGGTGAATGGGGTGTGTGCGGATCCACATGGGAGGAGGGGCTTAGAAGGGGGGGTGTAACTGAACCCATCCCAAGAGACTAGCAAAGAGCTGCGTGTTGGAGAGAGGGAAGAAGGAAGAGGAGTAAACCTGTGATATTTCAACACAGAAAAGGAAAACCTCCAGCTGGCCCACGCCAGCTGACTTGGACTCTTGGCTCAGGGTGACGGGCTGGTTCATTGCTGTGTCTGTCCGGGCTCAGACTGGAGCCCAGGCCCTAGGTCCCGAGAAATGGGAGGGCACCGAGGAGAAACAATAAGCCACACAGACTGAAGGTAACCTCCTAAAGGTTCAGATCGGTTTGGAGGATAATCAGGGAGAAACAATAAGCCACACAGACTGAAGGCAACCTCCTAAAAGTTCAGATCAGCTTGGAGGATAATCATCTAAACATCCAGAATGTGAAAGAACAGGCCAAATCTTTCAAGCGTTGTCCATCCCATCTCATGCCCTGTTTAAAGGAGAAGCAAGCTACCAGAGCATTGCCTAGGGTTATGGAGATGCTCTTAGAGAAATGTGTGGATTCCTATGGAATCCATTTGGATGTGGGTGAGAGGGAAACTCGAGCTCAACATTGTTACTGAGGAGCACTAGTGTATGAGCGGGTGAATGGCAGGGCACAAACTAAAATTGGCCGACATTGAAACATGCTCAAGGAGCGTTACTGAGTCTTCCGGGAGCAGGGGATGGGGTCTCTGGGGCTTTGCCCACTAACAGGGGCTGCAGTAGAAGGGAAGTGACAAAGGAACCAAGATTCGAACCAAGATCCCTCTGTTTTTAGAGTGACAGACACTTTGTCCTCAGACCAGTGTGTCAGGAAACACACTTGAATTCACATCTGTGAACAAGTCTTCTCACTTCTGTTCATGCATTAAAACGGCCACCCGCCGGCATTTCCAGCTGTGACTCTGACCTGCCACAGCTGCCACGTGTGGGGTTTTTTCAGCTGTCAATCTACGCTGCAGGGTGAGGCCTGACCCTTCTGACACATGGCTATCGGCTGGGGTCTGATTCGCCGTCAGCCTAGTACCGTCTGCGGGAGAGTCGCAGTGGCCAAGGCTGGCGCGGCTGGGGACGTGTTACGATGAATGTCTCCCCCTCCAGTGTTCCGGCCTGGCCACGCCCCGGCCCCTGGTTCCCACAGTTCCCAGTGCAGCGTCCCTTAGCTCCACTCACAGCTGTGAGCTGCCCGGCAGGGTTCTCTGTGTCTGGCCGCGGACCAGCAAACCCCCATGTGCACTCTGACTGCCCCTGCAACGTGCATCCTTCGCTCAACAGCTCCACACATGGGTGGCCCATGAGCCCCCTTTGGGGAGGCTCCCCCACAGCCCCGCCCCTTATGCCAAAGGCTCCTCCCCCGGCCATTGCAGCCCTGAATGTTCCCCCTTCTCTCCCCATGGCCAGAGGGGCCCCAGAGCCGCCCTGGCTGCCCAGCCAGACTCAGCACTCGGCAGCCCCATTGCCATCCTACTGGTCGCCCCCCACACCAGTCTGCTGGCCTCTGGCTCACCAGCCCGGGGCAGGCCAGGGAGTGGCTTAGCCCCCCCCATCGATTTAGACCCGCTGCCCAGGAAGCAGCTCCAGGCTTCCCCCTCCCCCCAAACGGGACATGAACTGGCTGAATTCCAGAGCCCAGGGGGACACGCAGGCTTTGACTGTGCCAGTGGGTGTGCGTGCAGCATGGACAAGCACACGGCTAGAGAGCAGCCTGCGACCAAGTGAGACACCTGGCTGGAAAAGACCTAAATGGGCCCAGTGACCCCATGTGCCTGTGCTAAGTGGGGACAATCTTGCCAGGAGCTTAGTGCTTCTGGGAGGCATTGAGCATCCTCAGCTCCCTCTGACGGTGGAACTGGAGGCTCAGTGCACCCCTCGGGACCGGGAGCCCCTGCACTCACTCACCCACATTGCCCCGCCCTCGCAGGGCAGGGGGGAGGTTCTAGCTCTTACTCTGGATGGTCACGTGGGTCCCTGCTCCAGTCCCAGAGAGATTCCTCGCTGTGCTCCCCACCTCGCACACGTAGCGCCCTGTGTCAGACGACTTCACGTTCTTCAGAGTGAGCGAGGCAAGGCCACTTTCCAAACGCAGAGCTGTGAGCACATCGCTCCCATTCACCAGCTCCTTCTGCGGCCCCTCGGCCTGGTACCATCGCACATACATGGTGCTGAGACTAGTGACGTTCTGGAACGTACAGTGCATGGTGAGCTCTGAGCCTTCTACAGCACAGACACTGCCCGGGGTTTGAGTCACCGTCAGGTCGGTCATTTCTGCAGAAAGAGAATCACAGAGGAAGGCGCCTTCATTGGGAAATCTGTCAACGGGGGCAGATGTATCCAATGGATCTCTCCAATCCTGCCACTAGCGCCCTTTGCAAACCTGCCTGGTGTAATCTCCCCGGCTTGCTAAGGGTATAAACTGATCTTCTGTCACGTGCTCCCATAGAGAGCAGTATCAGGCATGTTGACACTGTTCTGCTTCGTGTAGTGCAGGGGTGGGGAACCGTAGGCCCAGGGGCCAGATGCCGTCCCCGACTTGCCTGGATCCAGCCCTCAGGGCTCCCTCCAACCCCTGCTGCCTCCCACCCCACTGATTTTTCTGCGGGTCAGCGGCCCCAGACCAATCAAAGGTTCCCCCAGCTATACCCCTCCGGTAACTCCAGATGCTTCGGTCTACAGAAATCCCCTCTGACAAGGACTTTGTACCTCAACCTTGGGTACCAGGAGTTAAAGTTCTCCACATCCTTCCCTGTTGGGCCTGCTCTAGTCTCTAGAGGGCACTAGAAAATGGCCTGATCCCTCAAACTGCTGACAGGCCACTGGGGCATCAGCCATGGGCTTTAGGCTTTGCCAGTCAAGGGCAGAGTGTCGGGAGAGCAGGGTGGCGGATGCCGTGGGCACTGGGACGCAGCTTGCTTTTCTTCCCGGTCCCCTGAAGATAAGGGAGTGAGGGGAAAGTCCTTGGATTCTGTGATTCACACCTCTTCCCCCTCCCTTCACTGGCCAGGAGTGAGAGGCAGGCCCAGAATCCAAGTACTTTCCACTCGCTCCCTTACTGTCAGGGGAACGGCAAGGAAAAGCAAACCGAGTTATATCAACTGCCCCCTTCGCCACATCCTCATCTGTCCCTGACACCACGTCCTAACGACACCTAGGAGCCTAAACCAGCCAATGGGCG